ATACACATATTATATACCCAATGTGCCAGGCATTGCCTAGACTGGTTCTCAAAGTGTGGTCCCTGGACCAGCAGCCTCAACATCACCTGGGAACTTGTTAGACATGCAGATTCCCAGGCTCAACGAAGACCTATTGAATTAGGTACTCTGGAGTTGGAGCCCAGCAATCTGCATTTTAATAAACCCTCCAGGTAGTTCTGATGTACATTCAAGTTTAAGAAGCACTGGTCTAGGTATTGGGGATATAATGGTGAAAAGACAGAATAAATCCTGTCTTCTCATAGAGTTTACATTCCTGTGTGTGTGGTAGGGGAGAAAGAAAACAAATAAGTAGATAAATAACTGAATACAATACTTTGCAGATTTTCCCATGGATTGCCCATGTCTGCTTCATTTCCCTTTGCCCTGTTTATCAAATCGCTCCCCCCGCCAAACCACCCGTCATCTTGGCAGCTGGTTCACCATGAGGCCAGCATGCCCTTCATCTAATTGCATGATTGGGCATAAACAGAAGGAAATTCTTTGCTGGAGGGAGAGAATGGCATGTAGCATCTGATTTCTCCTGTCAGCTGATTAGGATTTGTTGTGTCCGATCAAGGTCAAATGAGATTGGAAAGAAAATGCAGAGTATCTGGTGTGTGTTTCACATAACTGTATCATTTACATAAACAGGGTGAACGAAGGAGAGATTTTAACATGAATACTGAATGTCAGTCTTAAAATTCAGGGATACGAAGATAGGGCTTATGTGTTATACTTGGAAAAAAGGAAAATCTATTTGTTGGGGGCATTTTGAACCCTGCTAACTCTATCATGCTCTGATTCTTCTTTCATGCCGGTGCAGATAAAAAAGTGATAGTTTTATGTCTTGGTTTTCAGAGGCACTGAGCACAGAATAAGCCAAACCATGAAAATGCCACATTTTACCTTTACTGCCCTTCTAAAGCTCTCATAAGACGTTTAGAGCCACTTTCTATAGCAGCAACCTCCAAAGTGCTGGGGAGTGAGTCGATGTCTTAGGACATGGAAGAAAAAAATCTCACCTCCAGCACCAGTCACAGCATTTTAGATGTGAATGACACTGGCCAAGGCCACACCTCTGTGGATAACCCTACCAAGCTTCTACTAGGATTTCTTTCGGTCCTCCATATCTGTCATTTTCTTCCTTTCTCAGACCCACCCCTGACAGTGCCAATAGACTCACATATGTTTTCATTACTGCAGAAATAGCATTAAAAGTGCTCTAAGAACTTTGAGAGAAGATATGGTTTCTGTTACAAACTCTATATAAGAGCTAGCAAACTGTTGATGCTTCATATGTGGCTTTGACAGTTATTATTTCCACAAACTAGTTCCTGGCCCAGAACTGGAGCTACTGTGAGGCCAGACTTTTTGACTAGGTAGCCTCCGAGTCACTTCCCGCACAAAGTCACAGTGAAGCCCTAAAGCAGTAACATTTTCATATTTCAAGACTCAGTACATCCGAATGTATATCATTTAAAAGATAAATCTAGATACTTGGCATGGGCAGGAGGTTGAAATATAGAACTTGAAAGATGTTAAAGTGAAAAATTTTTTAAATTTCAATATTGAGGTGAATTATATTACAGTAGGTACTTTAAGGACCTGAAGAGTCATTATGTCCCAGTATTTGGACAGTAACGTTTCCAAACAACCAATATGTAGTCAAGAAATTCTTTATATCCGTAGCTAGGGGTTATAATTTGCCTAAAAGCTGCATAGTTTGTGTTTCTAACTGCATTTGACAACTGAATGCAATGGAAAAATAAAACTAAAATAATGGCTCACACTTATATTACCAGATTCCAAGGTGCTTTCACACACTTTAGCGCGTTTGATCGTCACAGTGATCCTGTCACCTGCCTTGCAGGGAGGGTGTGGTTAGGAGCATCTCATCAGTCTCTGCCAGGAGGGAAAAAACTGGGAGGCCTGAAGAGCTGAGTCACCCAGGAATGGTCAGCATCACAGTGTGGGCAGGTTCAAGGGTGTTAACCTGAGGCGGGAGACCCGGTTATAGTCACAGTGAGGAGTTTAACTAGAGGTACACCTGGGTGAGACTCTGAGCCGCATTGCTGTCCTCAGATCTTTAGGGTGTATTCTAACTTTAATATCTAACGTTCCATGTGGTTAAAAGGAGTTAACATGCACACTGGATGTAGCGTAATAACTCTCCACTATTGAGATGATCGAACTCCTTTTATCTCCCTATTACTCAGAAGGCCCTTTTGAATTGTGCACTTACTCGGGAAGATTCCTATTTTTTAAAGTAAATGACTGGTACCTGACTATGTGGAAGTAGCACTTCATGGAGCTTCCAGTTAATGAAGTTTGGAGAAACAACCTTTTTTTATACCTTCAAGACCCTTTTAGGAGAGCTGCTGCTCATCCATTATCAGAGCTGTGTGATGGTATGCCCCAAGTTCTGTGATGGGCTGTGAGCTTCTCCCTGGCTCGCCCCTACAGGAGGCACATGGGTGCTCTGTGCAGAGCGTGGAGATCAGGCCTCCACCTCCAGCTTCCCAGAGAGCACGTTTCTAGTTCCGACAGGTCAATCCATACCTGTCTTTCTGAATCACCAGGTGGGCAGACTTCCGTGTGCACACACACACATTCACACTCACACCTCCCAGGCTCAAATGCCTGCATAGTGTACAAGGACGGGACTCTTCATTGGAGCTATTAATCAGGTTTCCATCTGGTCTCTTCAGAGACACCTCCTGATCTGTATCTAACCTTTCAGTCCAGCTTCAGTTCCCACGTTCTACCAAAGAGTTATTTGTGCAGGCAGCTTCCTTCCTTCTCTCCCTTCCTCCCTCACTGTCCTGGCAGTGGCATAAAAATACCGTCCTCTAAAGAAATCCACACCCCTGCAGCTGGGCTCACCTAAGGATCGGTTAGTGTACCAGGGACAGACTTGGCCACTGGTGAGGGATGGCAGAAATATTCTGTCTGCAGCCCCTCCCCAGCCCTTAACCTGAATGGTCATTGCCTTGAGTGGCTCTGCAAAACACCCTCGGCAAGGCTTGGCTCTGGGAATGGCACAGACACACTCACACACACACTGCCACACACGGACACTACACCCTATGCAGGGATGCCGGATGACATTACAGAAAAGGACTCCCTTTCATCTGGCAGCCTTCTGATTCTCGAGCAGTGTTTCTGAGCTATGACCTGCTGTTTCCCTGGCAACTGGGGCCTCAAAATAAACAGGATTCTGCTCAGACGGGCCAGTAGTCCTTTCAGTCCAGCTATTTGCCCTAAGACCAACCACGCTAAAATAACACCCAGGATATTTGCTGCCACTGTCTGCTGTCTCTGCCTTCCTTCCCCTCTGGCCAATAGCTTTGCTTTCCTGGGCTCGCTCCTAACTGTCCAGAGTCGGGGGTACCTCGAGCTCTGTGCATGTCTCTGTGGGTGGGGTAGGTATGGGTAGTTGCCTAAAGGCAGGTCCCCTCTGCTGATAAACAAGGTCAGAGAGAGACCTAGCGGCCGACATTCTCAGCCCCCACGCCTGCCTCCTTGTCCCCCACACAGCCCTGTGGAACTGGTAGCCAGCTCTGTGGCATGGTATCTGGAGGCGGGCCAGCAACCTGATGTGCGTGCCACGGCCCGTCCCCTCTCCCCACACAGAGTTGCAGTCACGGAGAGAGAGCCGGCTTGAGGCTGCCAGGGAAGCAGCTGCAGTGCGGTGACAGTGACAAACACGGAGCAGACGACACCAAGTGGATTCCCTTTCCTCTCTGAGGGAGAGAGGCACAGCCCTCAGCCTACGAGCTCTTCAGGTAAGAATCAGGTTTCTGTTCTGGGGAACGAGAGCAGGTTATATCCAGATCTGAGGTTGTGCATGCATGTGTGTGTGTGTGTATGTGTGTGTGTGTGTCCATGTGCAAGTATAAGGCCACATAGAAAGGGAAGAAAAAAGGGAAAAGTTAAGGCAGTAAGATGTTTTAAACAAATAGAACGAGCAGTCCTGCAAGTAAACACCCAGAAGCTCCCCTCTGGCTGGGTTTAAACCATCGTGCAGTCCATCGTGCAGACTGCTCTGGGAGCCCAGGCACATAAAAATAGCCCTTGGAGTTCAGAAACAGTGAAAAGGATCCTGTACCATGTTGCCCCATTGTCTTCATTCCCCTGCTGCCAGGCGGGTGAGGACTGGAGGGGGCAGAGCGTTCTCATCTACTTCAAGTGCTGGATACGGCCTTTGCGGTTGGCAGAAGCCGAAAGCATTGGCCTTAGTGAGTCTGGCTGGCATTATTTTGCTATGTCACACTCAGCCTTTGGGGGAGCCTGGAAAGTCAGCTGCCTTGCAAAGCCTGTCTACTGGGTGGGCACCTTAGATTTTATCAACCTTTTGATATAAAAGTTGGACTGAAATATAGGATTATCTGCATGTGTTTTGATAGGGTGGTATTCTGATGGTCCCACTGGTCACCTGGATTACTTCTTACCTGACCTTCTGATCATCTTTGAAAATCACAGCCTCATTTCCGTGACCCTCCAGATAGGTACTGGCAGAGAAG